CCTCCCCCCCCCCCCAAGCACCAAGAATACAGAGCATCACTACCCCAGACATAAGAACATAAGAGAAGCCAATGCAGGATCAGGCCAAAGGCCCACCCAGTCCAACACTCTGTGTCACACAGTAGCCAAAACCCAGGTGCCATCAGGAGGTCCACCAGCGAGGCCAGAACTCCAGAAGCCCTCCCACTCTTGCCCCACCCCCCCAAGCACCAAGAAGACAGAGCATCACTGCCCCAGACTGAGTCCTCCATCTTTACCTTGTGGCTAACAGCCACTGATGGGCCTCTGCTCCATATGTCTATCCAATCCCCTCTGGAAGCTGTCTGTGCTTTGAACTGCCAACACTTCCTGCGGCAGTGAATGCCACGCGCTGAAAGTGTTGCTGTTCCGGCCTGGGATTTAAGACCGCAAGGAGAGGCCCTCCTCACTTTTCCCAAGAAACTCATCTGATGGGCACTCGCGAGAGGGCCTTTTCGGTGGCAGCCCCACGATGATGGAAGGACCCCCCCAGGGCCTGTCCCCCTCCCTTTCGATCGTTAGGAGGCAGCTGAAAGTCAGGGTGTTTTTTTTTTAGGGCCGCCTTTGATTAAAGGTGGGAAGGGAACAGCGTTCCGTGCGCCTCGGTGCCAGAACTCCAGAAGCCCTCCCACTCTTGCCCCACCCCCCCAAGCACCAAGAAGACAGAGCATCACTGCCCCAGACTGAGTCCTCCATCTTTACCTTGTGGCTAACAGCCACTGATGGGCCTCTGCTCCATATGTCTATCCAATCCCCTCTGGAAGCTGTCTGTGCTTTGAACTGCCTTTACGACCTCTGGTCTGTGTATTTTATTTATATGGCTAACAGCCTAGAGCTCCTTCAGGAAGAAAGGCGGCTAATCGACGCAGATCTCTACAGGTATGAAGTAGAAGTGGAAGAGGAGGAGGAGGAGGAGGAGGAGGAAGGTGGGCCCCCTTTGGCTTGCAGAGGTGAACGCCCAGCCCCGCCCGGCCCGACCCTCCCCACACGATACCTGCCCTCGATGACGGTGATGATGTCGCTCATCTGGATGAGGAGCTTATCCGGCTCTTCAAAATCCTGCAGGGCCCGCATGTCCGTGGGCTGTGCCTGGGGGAGCAAAGAGGAGATGGTGAAGGGCTGCCCCGCCGAGGACGGGTTGGAAGCGTGAGAGCCGGTGCGGCCTAGTGGTTAGCGCTGGACTCGTTTCTCCATTTACCGCACTGTGAATCCTGCCCCTTTCTTCAGGGAGTCCATTCTCCTCTTCTCTGTTCCGTCCTCACGATGACCCTGTGAGGTAGGTTAGGCCAAGAGAGTGTGTGACTGGCCCAAGCTCACCCAGTGAGCTTCTGTGGCAAAGCGGGGATTCGAAACTGGCAAATTTGTGTGTGCGTTTATTTATTTTTAAAAAGCTTTTTTATTTTAAAGACAAAACGTACGTAAAAACAAAATTTACATAAAGGAGGGGAAATTATTCTTGCAATTCCTTGTTTAACAAACTCGTACCTAATTTATCGTACGTTTATATATTTCACCTTGTATCATTATGTATATCTCTTGCAAATATATCAAAATTGTGCTTTGTATGTCCTTTAAGAGTTTTAAAATGTCTATATGGTTTATTTATTATAATCTTCAAACCACTTATAAAATCTTGACCATCAAATTTTACAAATGACTTGAAGGATAACAACAAATAAAATTTACAGGCTTATAAAGCGTTACAAGGACATACAAACTATACTGTTTACATATTTGCAAGAGATATACACAATGATACAAGGTGTGATAGATAAAATTAAGATCAAGTTAGATATGAGTTCTGTTAACCAGAAATGTAAGAATATTTAGATACCCACATTTTATGTTTTGTTTGTCTGTTTTGTTAAAATAACGAATATTTTTTTAAAAAAATCTTGACCATGTATTTCTGTGCCTCTTTTCTCCCCATTGTTGGGATTCAAAGTGGCTTTAGAGCGTCATTCTCTTCTCCCCCACTTTCTCACAACAACAGCCCTGCAAGGTAGGTTAGGCTGAGAGTTTGTGACGGGCCCGAGGTCACCCGGCAAGCTTCCATGGCAGATGTGGGGATTCGAACTCGGGTCCCTTTGGTTCCTAGTCTGCCACTCTGTCTACTACGCCACACTGGCACACCTAGGCCTCCCAGATCCCTAGTCCAACGCAGAGGGAGTCTTGCGTTCAAATCCCCATTCAGCCATGAAACTATGGGGGGGGGGGCTTTGGGCCAGTCGCAGTCTCTCAGCTGCCTGATCTTGCAGGACTGTTTTGAGGATAACACGGGAGAAGAAGAAGAAGAAGAAGAGAAGGAAGAGGAAGAAGAGGAGGAGGAGGAGGAGGAGGAAGAAGAAGAGGAGGAGGAAGAGGAAGAAGGAGGAGGAGAAGAAAAGAAGATGAGGAGGAGGAGGAAAAAGAAGAGGAGGA